CATCCATCCATCCATCTGACCCTTATATACTCTAGATATCAGCCTAGATTGATATTTGCTTAGTCATTGCTGGTAAAAAATTATTCTCTATTGCCTAGCCTGGTGGCTTCACAAACACATGGCATATTTGCCTTTTCTCTTGTATATATTCACTCTTTTAGCTATGGTAGTTGAATTTTCCCACAATAATATAAATAGGCCTCATGCTTCCACAAATTTCAAATGACCTTACTTTCCAAAAGGTATTTTGATCCACGTTGGGCTTAAATTTTCACCTCGTTTAAGTATCATCAGCATCTCTAGCGGGACTCAAATCGCGGGTAATGCAGTGTAGAGTCTAGGCACGTCAAACACTACTACCATCTTTCATCACTAAACGATATGGTACGAATACAGCTCTCATATCAGGTCTATTTGTAGTCTCGAAAAACTTATTTATAGGCCTATACAATTTCCCCTTATTCTAATTGTGTTACCCTCATTTTGATTCCTGTATCCCAAATGTTTCAAGCTCTTTTGATACTACTTTTAAAGGTGAATTTATAATCATAATAATCTAATTGGGGAAAACTTTACCCTTATTACTACTCTTATTAAGAGTCATTTATTATTTTCCTTCCCATTTTCCCAGATCCTTCTGAAACGACATTCTTTCAGAGTTGTGGCATCGCTGACCTAATCACCACTTGCTACGGCGGCCGCAATAAGCGGATTGGACAGGCCCTTGCAACGACGACAAAATCGGTCCCTGAACTGGAACAGGAATTGTTGAGCGGTCAGAGCGCTCAGGGTCCCCTCACTGCATCTGAAGTTTTTCATGTACTCGAGTCGCATCATCTTGAGGAACAATACCCACTTTTTTCAACTATACACAAAATATGCACTCGCCAACTCGAACCCAGGCAACTTATCTCCAAACTGCGCCACCATCCCGAGCATATGTAGAGGCAATTTGGTTCAACGAATATTTGCTAATGCACAAGATCTTCCTGGTTGGAAAATGCCGCTACGTCTTCCCGCATTTGGTCTTACTCACTATTTTCTCTCATCTAAAACCCTTATTTCTTATGTATTTTTATTTATTCATTTAATGCGAATTTTTTTCAAGCGCATGCTTTTTACTTATTATTAAATTGCTCTCTAATAAGTACTTGCCTATTATTGCATCTGCTCTTCTGAGTAACTGAAATGCTCTTGCTTAGACAACTCACATGAAATAACTGATTTTAGTTTTTTTACTTATATTGGGTGTCTATCCCACTTTCTTTGTTTGAAGGCTAGTATTTTGCCCTTTTTCTGGCTTACTAAAATTCCTTTTTAATTACAGGCTATTTACATTTAGAGTGACTTAGAACAGTTGAAAAAGCTAAGACGTTTGTCTTAGTTTTGATGATGATTTTTTTGCTTTTTGTACGTCTTATTAACTTTTTTTCGTCTCAGGGAGTTATCTCTCATCAGCCTTTTTGCGATTATTCCAGTCCTTATTATCTTTAGCTCAGTAAAATTGTATGCTGGCCCTTTATTTATCCCTTATTTATTTGAGTTTTCGCTCATCAAATTTTCTCAGATCGTCATTTTTGCGTATATTTTCAACAGCTAATAACGTAACTTTCAATTATTTATCTTTGTGTCGATTTTTCAGAATTAGTTAACATCATTTGGGCGACCAGTTCTTAACACTTATATTAATGTTTTCCACAGAATATCTCCTCTACCATGTC